CTGATATATTTCACAGGATTAGGGAGTGCTATACATGCTACTTTAGGTTTGTAGAGGAAAGGAGGGCTATAACTCTTACAATAAAACACAGCCAAAATGTTCAATTCTACTCACTGTGGGTATCAGAGATGGTATTGCCTGAGGCTGCCCACCCTTATCCTACTTAACATTTCTAATCCTAAAGACAAAAAAGACTGAAAGAAGGGAAACTCTCATATTCAAATATGTATGAAACAACACTCTACTGAAGCATCAGAGCTGTGAATACCCATTTCACAGGCCAAGAGAAACTTGATTTCTGATGAAATGGGAGCCAGTGGTGATACTTTTAGAAAAAAGAGGAAAGGCAGCTTACCTGCTGCCAAAGCAGCATGCAAAAGGATTTCTGTGCAGAAAAATGCTGCCTGTCGGTCCCCTCCAGGATGTGGAACTTAGTTCAATATTTATGAAAGGCAACACGTAAGTTTATGCAGACATCATCCAAAAAGCTATTATCCAGAAATGGACAAGAAAATGTTTTCTAGGAAATAAAATCAATGAAAAACCTAATCCAGTAGTAGAAATACACAACGCCAAATAATTTAAAATTGAATAGTTCCTATTGGTCTGAATCAGCTCTCAGATTGGTGGGCTCATTATTTGACTGCTAACAACTATTTGCCTGAGCACCAGACATCTAGTAGTTGTGTTATTTTCCCCAGCAGAGCTTTCAGCATCCCAATTCAAAGTGCTGAAATCTTGGTTGTACAGAAACTTTTTTCTATCAATGGGAAAAATGACAAACTTTTCTTCTCCATGTAGTTTCCAGTTGCATATGGCTATGTTGGGCTGACAGTTGCAGTAGGCTACATTTTGTTGAGATGTAATCTCCTGACGGACAAGAGGAAGCCCTAAAATTTATGCCTACTAGCACTGTTTTTTTGCTCCCTAACACTGTTGGTTCTATTTACTACACGTTGCATTGCGTATATTTAATTTTTGTGTGTGTGTGTATGGTAGGACAGGGGCATAAAATTTGTTGCTGTATGCTCATGGCAGTCATTACCATAGATTGTGTTTCTATAGATACGGTACTGGTTGAATGAGGTTCAGATGCTGTGCACATAAGAAAAGCCAAAACGCAGGGTGGGTAATTGATGTTATGAATGACACAGTAACTTGTGTACTCTATTAGAGAGTTTTCCATGAGACTCATGGACTAATAGCTCATCACAGCTGCTAAGATCAGTCCTATATTTCATCACTATTTCCTATGAAGTCCAAAGAAAAGCTCTTTTTGTGCTTCTCTTTTGCAATATGAAGTTCAGCTTATAGACTTTATGTCCTTAATTTGAAAGAAACATTACAAGCTGATATCTGCTATATGCTTACTCCTCAGATGAGTAGTAACTTTACTGACCATTGCCGTCATATTGTTTAAAGGTACTTGCTTCAACACTGGAGTGTGTATGAAGGTGAAGCAATGATCTTCAATTAAGTGAGCTTGCTTAGTATCCTTATGAGGGTAGAAAGAAGTCAGCAGCATGTAGCTCTCTGCAGCTGTATTTCTGCAATACAGAAGGCATGTGAGCTGTGTGATCATATATTTTATGCCCCTAGATTATACTTGTACAAAAAGTCACTTATTTGCAATGTATTTTAATTGTAGAGTGCATGTTTATTCAGGAAGTCTATGAATTTCTAAGCAAGAGCCTTGATTTAAGGACAATTTTAAGCTGGGCTAAGATTTTAGCTTTAAAGAAGCATCTTTTATATTGCTGAGAACAGAAAATGGCCAATTTTTCTCATGATAGATATATTTATATCACAAGAAGCCAGGGGAACCTAGCCTCTGTGGTTAAAAAGGGAACTCATCTTAATTTCCAATATGCTAAAGTTTGCTTTTCACACCAAAGAGCCTATGAATTTTTACCTGGTCCTTTAGAAAGAGGAATGAAAATATCTTGTAACTAGGCAACTGAGAACATAATTTCCTTTTCCTTTAGTCCTGAAAAAGTGGTAAGGTTGTGTCTTCAGCAATGCAGGAGTTTGCAGGAGTGGGAGTGCAATAATGCTCTGGAAGTCTTAATGATAATTAGTCTACTCCACTTTGAAACAGAGCCCAGCTGTTTTTCTCTCTTCTGCTCTAGAAATTGTGAGCTGATGGCCTTGGGGTAAAACACTGGATTATTCCCTTACCCACTTCCACCCCCACAAACCCTTACTGTGCTAAAGCTTTTTGCAAAATGTATTCTCCCTGAACAAAATGGAGGATAGATTCTAACAACAGTTAAGAAGAAAAATTGTAGCCATTAATAGATTCTTTCTCTATAAAGGCTCAATCTAGCCAATATTATGTAAATTGAAGAAGACCTGGGTAGGATCACTGAAAGCATATCTTATGGCACTGTACAATAAAATAACCTGTCCTATATACACTAATGCTCTCTTTCCATTTAATTGTAAGAAACCAATTTCTAACACTCAGAAACTTCTGTTTTAACCTTTCTGTAACATATAAGTGTAGAATTAGTGAGCTGATAAGGCTTTGTCCAAGTAGTTTACTGAAGTGCACTGCAGTTTCACTCAAAACAATACTATAAAGGCGGCGGAAACATTTGAAGACTAATATATTGAGAAACGGCACTGTGAGGCAATTTCGGTGCTCTAATAACAGGTCACCTGATTTTCACTGTGTATCCATATTACATGGAGTATTACGCCCTTGTAATACTTGCACAGTTCTTACAAAAATGTGCCTATCCTGATTTCAGCTCCTGACACTCCAATGAAAGGCTCTTGCTGATTCTCCTTGAATCAAGCCACTTAGCTCTATAAACCTTCCATAATTCAGCTGCCGTTCCCTCAATTCTTATACCAGGAATTTGAAAGTGCAGATTTTGAACTGTATAAAATAATCCAAATTAAGTCTATTTTGTACTAGTCACAAAAACTCTCATGCACACATAGGCCATGATGAAATCACAGGGTAATTCTTTGATTATGCTGTTTATTTCCAGTGAAACCAAAGTATACTACTGCTGTTATCACAGAACATCTTCACATTTGATGCAAATATGAAAGAGTTATATACAAAGTAATTAAGTGGCACTATTTTAAAAGAAATAATCCAAGCCTCTAACATTATGTAAAACGTATCATATGCATAACTTGGGTAAGCTCCAACTGCACTGCAGCTGTGTTACTTTGAATATAAATGCCACATTAATGATCATTTTTCAAGACAAACTGAATATTACCATTAGACATTAGTTAAGAGCAGTATGCTTACTGCAGAAAACTAGTGCAACCTTCTTGTTTTTCAGTCTGTTATTCTCACTCTTATTATAACCCTAAACCATTTTGTAAGCTCATACATTCTCTTGCAAAACGTGTGTGTGTGTGTGAATTTCTACATGTTTTTGCGTATGTGTGTATGCCACACACACATGCGCACACACACAAAACAATTCCATGTTGCCATTAAACAGAAGAAGTTTACAGTACAATGTGATGGGCTAAAATCTTTTTCATTCTCTTGCAAAACGTGTGTGTGTGTGTGTGTGTGAATTTCCATGTTTTTGTGTATGTGTGTATGCCACACACACATGTGCACACACACAAAACCAATTCCATGTTGCCATTAAACAGAAGAAGTTTACAGTACAATGTGATGGGCTAAAATCTTTTTCAGGTATTCCTTTATTGTGTCCCTGAGGCACTCTGGACTGAAGGAGCAGAATCCTGATCCGGCAAGAAGGTGAACGCAGGTGAGGCTGCCTCTGGAAGCCCCGGAGCAAGTACATGGCGGCACACAGGACACGTTCCAGACTAGGCAAGAGAAAACACCACTGTTTAGTTACAATTCAGGTCAGGAATGCAAGAGGGTCCAAATGTAGAGTTTCAAATATATTTAGGAAAAGAACTGCAAATTGGGGAAAACAAAAAAGCTAAAAAGGCACAGATTCAAATCTTTATGTTGCCTCCTTTAAAATGGTCATGTCAGGCTCACAGTGGTTTCTATGGCATAAATAGTTTTCTTCATGGAAGTATTAAATATCGATTTTAATTACATACAAGAGAGCATGTGTTATAAATGTGATATACAGAACCCCAATATTATTAAGTATTTTAAGAAGGTTCTTGATACTAGATATTACATAGGATTTGTGTGTTTAAAATATACCAGAAATCTATATTATCATATGAAGCAGGCAACATGTCAAGTACATTTCAGTTAATTAAATTCAAGTATTTTCTGGTGAAATGGCAGTCTCTATGTGACACCTGATTTGCTCCCGCACATCTCTTAAAATATATATAATTCCATGGAGTAAGATTAGTTCACAACTGGTAAGCTCAGGAGGGATTTCTGTAATTTTCATGTTCAAGTCATTACCAAAGTGATAATCCAGTCAACTTGCCCAATATAAAAGACCTAACACGCTGCTAAAACAATTGTCTAAATTATAGTTTATTAAAATAAAACTCTTCAGAAGTGTTGCGATACCTGGAAGAGACTGTAAATCCTTTACATTGGGTAATAATCAATTTGAAACTATTTACTGATACTACTATGTAGTCTGAGTGTTCTTACAGCATTCACTTCACTTATTAGGGCATGTGGGAGTTTGTTACTGAATTTACAGAGAGAGATTATCTCCCATGACACTGTCCAACTTTAATGAACATTTAAGAGTTAGCATTTCAGAAACCTTTACTATGTAAGCTTGCTTCATAAAAGTATACACTACACTTTAAATGTGAAGGAAAAGATTTTCCCATTTTTCATTCAAACTTTTTTTAAAAACAGTAGATTGCTTTCTTCACAAGATGGCTTTACAGCTTTTCAGTCTATGTAATTCTATTTTGTGATGGTTTAACACAGTACCATACCAATACAGCTAATTGTAACTATGCACTTCAATATACATCATATGTTAAGTGCTACTGTTGATGTGCTTCCAACCAAGATTGAACTGAACTAAGCCACTGATCTTAAGCAGCAAAATCAATGTGACTAAATGCTTTGGAGAAGCCAGTGAAATAGGTTGCTGCCTTTATCATTTTTATGTGAGTTGTTTTGGAGGCACTTTCATTTGTACAAATCTTTACCAGTAACCCACATGTACAGTATTTGCTTGCAAAACTGGGGTTATATAGAAAATATAGTTGGAGGCTGCAGTATTCTCCCCAGTCATGGACCTGCTCCAGATTACTTGGGGTCTGACTCACCAAAGGGTTACACACTTGATCTGTGTCCCTTGTCATGGCCAGATCACCCTTTCTATCCTTGGAGTTCTCACCCCCCATTGGAGGGAGGTGACTGATAAACCCAGCAAGATTCCAGAGGGAACTTGGGGTCATTCCCAAAGCTTTGTTCCATGGTGTGACTGAGGCCTTAGTCACATCTGGAATGAGTGGGCAATCATGGCCTTGGATTGGAACATGCCTGGGTGGAATCTCTGTGCTTGTGGATTCCACAGGGCCTCCTGTTTTTTAGAGGAAATCAGTGAGATGGAATGATGCAAGAAACACCTAGAGTGCAGCTGGAGTGAATCTGATTGAGCACAAATAAGAATCTTTATTAAAGCATATCTTGTGTGGTAATAATAGCAGCAAAATGTGCTTATTTCTCCACTCTTATCATGTCTGCAGATAGCTAGCAAGTGGCCCTGTTGGTAAGAAGAGGTTGGGAGAACTCTTGCAGGGTTGCTGCAAGGACTGTTTTAAACACTTCGGTGATAAAGTCACTTGGATCCACTTGGAGCTGGACTCTGACTAAGCAGTAACCATGGAATTGACTGAGGCATGATCTTGCTCAGTTATCTGGGAAGAGTTTCAGCCATTTGGTCCCGAGGAAGTGGACAGGGACCTTGGGTTATTGAGTTCTGTCATCTATATGTTAGATCCATGTCCCTCCTAGTTAATCAAGGCCTCCTGGGAGGTGACATGTAGCCTGGGCCCCATAAATACTTTTTTGTGGAAGGGAGCAGTGCTGCATGCCTTGAAGGAGGCAATGGTCTATCCCCTCTTCAAGAAATTATCACTGGACCTTGCAATTCCCTTTTTGGGGAAGGTTGTTTAGAAGGTGGTAGGCTTGCAGCTTCAAAAGGCTCTAAAGAAAACAAATTATCTGGACCCATTACAGTCGGGTTTCAAGCCAGGATACAGTACCATTGATTGCGCTTATGGATGACCTCTGGTGGGCCCAGTATGGGGATGGCATATCCATCCTGTCCATTCTTGATCTCTCAGGTTTTGATACCATCAATCATGGTTTTTTCTGGGCCACTGAGTGGGTTGAGAATGAGAATCACTGTTTTTCAGTGGTTCTTCCTACAATTCCACTTCCAGTCAGTGTTGTTGCTGGGGAGAAGTCTAGCCCAAGATCTCAGCTTTGTGGGGTACCACAGGACTTGAATCTCTCCCACTCCTGTTTACATGAAACTACTGGGTGATGTCATCCACTGGCATGGGATTAAGTATCATCAGTACTCTGATGATATTCATTGTACATCTCTGTCCTGGGCATTCCAGTGATGCTATGAAGGTGCTTTCTCAGCACCTGAAGACTCTATACGTCTAGATAGGGATGAACCAGGTTCGGTTCAACCCTGACAAGACTGAGCGGCTGTGTGTTTTGCCCCCAGCTCCCCAACCTAGTGATTTGACATCTTAAACTCTGCCCGGAATTATACTCTGCCAGTCAGAGGTGGTGAGCAATCTGGGGGTTCTCCTGGACTCAACTGTGGTTAGGAAAGCCTTTGCACAAATACATCTTATGCACCAATTGTGCCCTTTCGTAGATCATGAAGCATTGCTCATAGTCACTCATGCCTTCATCACCTTTCAATTGGATTACTGCAAAATGCTGTATGTGGGGATGCCCTTGAAAGCATTTGGAAGCTGCAGATGGTCCAAAATGCAGCAGCTTGGACAGTAGTGATTACATCGCAGTACACCCATGTAACACCACTCCTTTATGAGCTGTGCGGGCTTCCAGTAGACTTCTGGATGCAATTCAAAGTGCTGGTTATCATCTGCATGTCACTGCATGACATGGGGCCAGGTTACTTATGGAACTGCCTATCCCTAGTGGATAGGTTGGGCATGCAACAAATTCCCTCAGTGAAGCTGTCACCTGTGGAAACTTGGAAGCATGCCTTCTGTGTCATGGTGCCTATCT